TACACATACGCATACACACATATTCACATACACTACACACATATATACACATACACACATACACTACACATACACACATACACTACACAGCCATACACATACACTACACACACACACACACAAACATATGCTACACACATACACATACACACATACACACATATACTACACACATACACTACACACATATACACACACACGCACATATACTACACACATACACACATACAGACATACACATACACTACACACATACACATACACACATATACTACACACATACACCACATACAACACATACAGACATACGCACACACATATAGACACACACACACACGCACTCGCCCCTAAAGGCAAAGACAAGAGAAGAGTGGTTGTTATGGTGGAGCCCAGTTGCTCCTCAAGCATGCCCTGAATGAGAAGGCTGCAGCAGCTGCCTCCCCTTGAGACAGTCCGCAGGGCTCCTGCCAGGGCCATGATGACTGGCGGCTCTGGCTGGCCATCACACTTTGCATGCCACCGGAGCTCTGGGCCAGCAGAAGGACCCATCCAAGCTGCCAGTTTTCATGAGCGCCCAATCCTGTGCCCATGTGGGGCCAGCCCGGACACCCGAGTGGTCTTCTGGGGCGTCCTGGAGAGCCTTGACACATGTCTGCCTGACAGCCACCTCGGCCAGAGGGAGGGACAGGACAATTGTCTTCCCCACGGCCCCAAGTGTGGCCAGCTCAGGGGCTACAGGGGACACTTAGGGGTACCCTGTGGAAAAAGGGGGGTTGGGGAAAGAGCTCTCTGTGTGTGCATGTGTGTGTGTGTGTGTGTGTGTGTGTGTGTGTGTGTGTGTGTGTGTGTGTCCATCTCTGACTCTTGGGCTTCCCCACCCTGGCCAGAGCACTGATTAGGCCACTTTGTCCTAGAGTTTAGCTTCTGTCTTTTTCTTTAAAAAACAAACAAAAAAAAATGATTTCTACTTGTTTTGTTCTGTTTTGAGGCCACACCAGGAAGAAACTGGGGCTTATTTCTGGCTCTGCACTCAGGAATTACTCCTGGTGGTGCTCTGGGGACCCTATGGAATGCCAGGGATCGAACCCAGGTCGGCAGCATGCAAAACAAACACTCTCCCCACTGTATTATTTCTCTGGCCCCAGCTTTTGCCTTTTCTGATGTTTCATTTTCTGGCTGGCATGCAGGGACCCTGGGCTCCCTCCCATGTTGAAGGGGAGGGGAAGGGAGGAGGAAATAGAACCATCTGGCACCTGAGCTTAAGGACAGAGTGGGCTGGTGCATGGTTCAGGATGAGGGGGTCCTGGGAACCCCCTCTCCTGGGATGGGCTAGAACCTATCAACTCAGCAATCCCTGCATGACCTTAGCTACCCCTCCTTCCTTCCGCAGGACCCTAAACCTTCCCCATTACAGCCCCTTCTATTTCCTATAAGGCTGGTCCAGCCAAAGTGGGTGTTCAGAAGACGGCACTGAGGGTGCCGGCATGATAGTATAGTCAGGAGAGCATTTGTGGCCAGCCTGGGTCCAATCCCCAGTGTTCTCTATGTTTCCCTGAACCCCACCAGGAGTGATCCCTGAATGCAGAAACAGGAGTAAGCCCTGAGCACAACCAAGTGTAATGCAAAACCAAGAACCTTGCCAGACAAAGAAAGACCCCATTGAGGGTGCCAGCTCTGGACCCTCCCTCTGGAAGGACTTTGTCCACCCCCCATCCCCAAGTCCACTAGCCTCTGGGAACCTCAGCTTCAAGATCTAACTGAAGGGTTTTGTTTTGTTTTTGCTTTTTTGGGTCACACCCAGTGAGGCACAGGGGTTACTCCTGGCTCTGCACTCAGGAATTACTCCTGACAGTGCTTGGGGGACCATATGGGATGCTGGGGATCGGACCTGGGTCGGCCACGTGCAAGGCAAGCGCCCTATGCGCTGTGCTACCACTCCAGCTCCTGAAGGTTTTTTAATGGTCTCAGATCACTGGGTCTTCACGAGAACTAAACGAAAAGGTGAGGTGAGAAAGGAAGGCAGAATGCGCGAACAGGAGGTGAACCGAGTCGTGAGGGGTTCTCTGCCCACTGGGAATGTTGAAGACTCTTCCCTGTGCTGAACAATTCTGTTCAGGGACCTAGATCCCTCCTGCCCCTTCCCTCTAACTGAACCCTCCGACAACATGCTATGCCAGAGACCCTCTAAGGGTCAGTGGGTCTGACCAGATTCCTTCCCTCCTTACAAACCTACAGAAAACACTGAGATTAAAGCACTGCTGGGAGTTTGCACATTTCAAGGGACAAGCCTGTGATTTCAGTGGGGACTTCCATGTTGTCTCCTTAGACACCTTCTTAAAGGTGCCTTAAAGGGGTTCAGCTGGGAATTGAACCCAGGCTGGCCACAAATACTCTCCCAACAAGAGCTGCAAAGCACTGGCCAGGCTAGGGCTCAGACGCATCAATGACGAGGCGGTCCCATGCACCCGGCAGCCACCAGCCAGAACCCAGAGGAATCTCTCTCCTCCACAACGGATTCCAGACCTTGGGACACCCTCTCTGCAGCTGGCCGAGCTTGCTGAAAGAAAAAAGAAGTCCTGTGGAAAGTAAGTTGTCCGTGTTCCTACAGAAACAGTTTGAATCTTTTGTTTTCCTCTGGACTTTTATCCACTTTTCTTTTTTTTCTTTTTTCTTTTTTTTCTTTTCTTTTCAAACCCAGCATTACTCCTGATGGTGCCTGGAGGACCATATGGGATACTGGGGATCAAACCCAGGTTGGCCGCGTGAAGGCAAACGCCCTACCTGCTGTACTATTGCTCCAGCCCCTTATCCACTTTTCAAACATGCTATTAAAGAGCGTGGCTCTCTATTGCCCTTGAAGCGTGGGCATCCCTGATATGAGGAGGACTAAAACTTCACATTGGGTACTATTTTAAAAAGAAATTATTTTATGAAATAATAACAACAACAAAGACAGTCATGTTGGATCTGAACCCAAAGCCTCGGTGAAGGGCTGCAGGCAGAGCCGGACCAATTCTCCATGCACCCCTGTGCTACACCCCCAAAAGTCTGCACCCCAGAGTGGGCCCGAAGGTGTAGGGAGCCACATAGATGCAAGAAAATAAAAACAAAGCAGCTCTGGAATCCGCAAGCACATCTGTTTTTCTAGAGCAGAGGAAAATTCTCATGGTGGACAGAAATTCTGTCCTGTTCCCAGGCCACATGCAAGGAGAAGAGAGCAGCATATTGTCCTCTGTTAGACCCACTGTCAGTGGTACAGCCTAGGTGTCGGAGCAATGGTACATAGAGTAGGGTGCTGGCCTTGCACCCCCAGCGCCCCATATGGTGCCACTGATAGGGATGATTCCTGAGTGCAGAGCCAGGAGTAAGCGGGAATACTGGATGTGGCTGAATAAAGAAACCAAAAGAGAATCCATCCTAGAAGATCTTTCTGTGATGGTGGAAATTCTCTGTCTCTGTCTCTGTCTCTGTCTCTGTCTCTCTCTCTCTCTCTCTCCTATCCACTGTCCACTTAGAACTTCTAAGCACTTGAAGCAATGCTGATACAATGGTAGAACAACATCCCCTGTTGAACTTTATTTCAATGAACACAGGGTGAATGACTAAGGGGCTTCTGGCTACCATCCTGCATGGAAGAAGGTTCGGTAACACCCTTCTCCCCCAGGGTCCTCTTTCCTGGGTCATTTTTCAATGCAATGGTGACAACAGCACTCCAAAGAGACAGAGGATACTTCCAGCACCCCCAAGCGATGCTTTTTTATTTGGAGAAGGGACACCACAACAGGAAAGAGAGTACTCTTGGTTTTTTTTTTCTTTTTTTCACACGAAGCCAGTGTCTACCATCAGCTTTTGCTGAAGGAAAGTCTTTGAGAGAACAGATACGTGTCCTGTTGGGGAAAGGGAAGAAAGTGAACTCCAAAAGTCCCCACAGCCCATCAGTCAGAAGGAAAGGAGGATCCACATCAGGGCACAATCTATCCCTGGGCCCAGAGACATCACTTTTAAAATGAGGCTGGAAATCACAGGATTTCTTTCCTGCCAATCACAGCATTATCCACAATAGGGAGGCACAAGAAACCCAAGGATCCAGCCCATAGAGAAATGGATCAACAAAATGCTGTGTGTGTGTGTGTGTGTGTGTGTGTGTGTGTGTGTACAGACAAATCCTGGAATCCTTGTTCAGTATGGGAAAGAAAGGTAATTCTTACATCTCCTATCACCTGCAGTCTTCTTGGAATAAATGCACCTCAATGAAATAAAATAAAGGCATGCTTTGGGGAAGGAGAGGTAGTACCGTAGGAAGGGTGCTTGCTTTGCCCGTCATACGGTTCCCCCACCTGCCACGACTGATCTGAGTGTGGGCAAAAAGTTAATGGCAACAACAACGACAAAGACATGCTTTATAATCCCACTCCCCAGCCTTTGGGCCCGTTCATGAGACAAGACCCACTCATACCTAGCTAGCTGCCAGGAATTGGCTGGCTCGGAGGGGTATGGGGAAATTGTTGATTTTTGAGCCCTGAGGTCCACTTCTGAAAGGGCAGGAGAGTCTATTGGGTTGGTGGTAAGCCGCGTGGAGGTTTTTAACACGGTTCAATGTAACAACGATTAACAGGGTACTTGTCCCTTTGGGTGCCCTTGACTTAACGCAAGAGAACAAGTTGACAAGTCTACCCCGAAAAAGCAGTGGTAGAGGGGAGGAGGGAGGCACATGAATTTTAGCCACCTAATACCGTCAGTTCCCCCATGCACCCCTGCTCTGCACCCCGAAAAGTCCGGGGCCTCCTCTCCCTGGGGGAGGTGGGGACCATCCCAGCCGCCGCACGAGCGCTCACAATAACCTCCTTGAGCGCTGCCGGCCGCCCCTCGGCGCCGGCCGGCGCGCCGGTGACCAATGAGCAGGCTCCGGCGCCCGGGCTCGCGCCCCCATTGGCTGCGCGCTACGGCCGGCAGCCCCGCAAGGTTCCCAAGCCGGGTTTAAAGGGGTCGGGCGCCCGGGACAGGCCTGCCATCGGCTCCCCGCGTGCAGGTCCGCGGGGAGGGCGGGCCTGCCGGAAGGCCCACCCCGGGGCGTTCCTGCAGGGCGCCTCGGGCCGTCCCAGCGCGCACCCCCCTCCCCCGCCAGCGCCCCCCAGATGTACTATGCGGTTTCCCAGGCGCGCGTGAACGCGGCCCCCGCGACCATGCTGCGGCCCCAGCGGCCCGGAGACGCGCCGCTCGGGCCGTCCCTGTACGAGCTGGTGGGCTACCGCCCTTCGTCGTCCTCCTCGACCTCCGCCGCCTCCTCCACGACGGCCCCGATCTTCCCCAAGGCGGCTCGCGAGACGTCGGAGACGGCCGCCGAGTCGCCGGGCGCGGGCGGCGGCCCCCGAGCCGACGCCAAGGACGCGCAACAGCAGCAGCTGCGGCGCAAGATCAACAGCCGCGAGCGCAAGCGCATGCAGGACCTCAACCTGGCCATGGACGCGCTGCGCGAGGTCATCCTGCCCTACTCGGCCGCGCACTGCCAGGGCGCGCCGGGCCGCAAGCTCTCCAAGATCGCCACGCTGCTGCTGGCCCGCAACTACATCCTGCTGCTGGGCAGCTCGCTGCAGGAGCTGCGCCGCGCGCTGGGCGAGGGCGCCGGGCCCGCAGCGCCGCGCCTGCTGCTGGCCGGCCTGCCCCTGCTCGCCGCCGCGCCGGGTTCCGTGCTGCTGGCGCCCGGCGCCGTGGGGCCGCCCGACGCGCTGCGCCCCGCCAAGTACGTGTCGCTGGCGCTCGACGAGCCTCCGTGCGGCCAGTTCGCGCTCCCGGGCGGCGGCGGCGGCGCAGCGGGCAGCGGCGCAGGCGGCCCGGGCCTCTGCACTTGTGCCGTCTGCAAGTTCCCGCACCTCGTCCCCACCGGCCTGGGCCTGGCGGCCGTGCCCGCGTCCTTCTCCAAGTGAGCACCGAGGGAGCACCAAGCCTGGGCACAGCGGCCGCTCAGCGCTCAGCAGCTCCGCGTCCTGGGCCACCCGGGAGAGGTGTGTGTGTGTGTGTGTGTGTGTGTGTGTGTGTGTGTGTGTAAGTGTAATGGGGGGAGTGGGGGACCCCCTCCAGATGTGCATTTGGAACCTTCTCTCCCCAAAGAAAGGACAGTCTGGCACCGCTTTCCCCGACGCCAATCCGGGGAAGTGAGCCTAGCGCCGTTTGGGGGTCCCTGGATGGATTCCAGCTGCGCCGGGCAGCAAGGGCGCGCTCCCACCCCCACACCCCACACTCACCCGACGCGAGGGTCTCCAGGGGTCCCGGACGGTTTCCCTTTCCCGGGGGAGAGCGGATTTTACCCCTCCCGCGTGCAGCGCGCTCCGAGAGCCGTCTGGGCGCAGAGGGCTGGGCCCGGGGATACGGGATGATCGGATGCTCTGCTTAGGCTCACGTTGTCCGGGACGGACAGACAAACTCGAGGACAGTCCCAGCCAGGGCCCCGGGCAGGCCGGCTCAGCCGAGGGCTGGAGAGCAAAGTTTGGAGCGTGGAAGTTGTTGATGGATTTCTGGGACGATGAACTCGGAAGCGCTGAGATCGATGGTGTAGAGACCCCGTTTGGTCGCACCCTCCCGCCTCCGCCCTTTCCCCCGCGAGGTAGCGTTGCCCACGTTTGAGCTTGCTTCAACGCGAACGCCCGCCCCCAGCGCGCGCCCACACTCTTCCTGCAGACCCGCTCCGGGATTCCGAAGACGGGGACCCGAGGCTTTCCCGCATCGCGCAGGGACGCGGAGTGAAAACGTGAAAACGCCGGAGGAGGAGGAAGGGGGCCGCCCACCGCGCCCTGAGTCCCGGGCGCTGCGGGCGTGTCTCCAGGACGTGCGCTCCGGGTGGCTGCGGGACCCACGCGAGCCGCCTCGGCAACCAGGAGGGTCTCGGAGCTTGCAGCTACTTGCTTTGATGTGTCCTTTGCAGGTTTCTCGGTTCTTGACCTTAGCCGAAACTTAACTGGCAGGTGATCCGTGTCTCTAACTTTTTTTCCTCTTTGCGCTCTGTCGGCGCGTGCCGGCGGAATAAAATACGTAGAGACCTGAGATTTGAGTGTGTGTGGTTTGTTTATTTAAAACCCAGCCAAACGAAACAGAACAAAAAGCCTAAGTATTCTGGTGTGCTGGTGGGTTTGGGAGCGTCGTGCTAGAGGTGAATAGTTTAAGATGCCAGGGGCTTGACCGGTATCAAAAGGACTCAGCCAATTCCGATTTACTGCAGAACCGGAAGAACAGGCCAAAGTGAATCAAATTCAGGCGCTAGGGGTCGGGCTCAGGTGAGTGGGAGGGGAGAGATGCTGAGGGAGGGGAAAACTCCAGGGATTTGGTTTTTGTTTGTTTCTTGAGAGGGTGTGGGGGTGAGAGTTGAGTTTCTTTTTGTTTTATTTTGTTTTGTTTCCTTTGTCTTTTTAGCCAAGCTCCTCTGGGGATCTCTGTTGGGTGACAATAACCTCCTCTGGAAAAGTACTGTGTATATAAAACAATTATTTTCTATTGCAATATTTGTCTTAGAAGCCCATCTTTACTGTCTTAGTGGACAGAACCAAAAAAAAAAGTTTTGCACTTTCCCCTACTTTTGTTTTACTAAGAGTGCTGGGTGCCAGAGATAACACAGCAGGTTAAGTGCTTGCCTTGCATGCAGCAGACCCTGGCTTGCTACAACTGGCCCCTGAGCACTGCCAGGGAGGACGCCTAAGCACAGAGCCAGGAGCACCTGAGCACCTCCAGGTGTGGCCCACCCCCTCCAAAACACAAAAATAAATTGTAACGTCTCCCGGGAATCATCCCCTCAGGTATCATTTTATTTCAAGAGGTGAAGAAAGTGTTTCTGTCTGTTCTGTGGCCAAGACTTTGGAGCTGTGGGTTTGCTTGTGTGCAACACCTCAGCAGTTTAGCGTGATTAATGAAAGCCAACCCCGGTGGGAAGGAGGGAGAGCTAAGAGCTCCCCATCAGCTGGAGAAAATGGAAGGAACTCCAAATGAAGTTGGCCTACCTCAATTCACCCATTTGGTTTACTGCACGCGTGTGTAAGTTTGGAGAAAAGGCATATTCACTGAGGGGAGCCCTAAGGAGATGACAACGTGTTCTAGAAAGATGATCTTACCTCTTCTGCCCTCCGGGCTTAGTATCTGCTTCTCAAAAGGGCAGGCAGGAGAGGATCCCTGGAGAAAGTAGCTTTGTACCCCCAGCTCACTTCAGGGAAGATCCATTAGATTAGTTTTTCCTACCCTTGCTTGATCAACAGAGAAGTTACCAGCTTGGGGTCAACACAATAACACAATGGCTGGAGGGCTATGATCAGGATTTGATCCCCAGCACTGCATCTGACCCCCAGAATCCCATCAAGAATGATCCCTGAGAAAGGATCTAGGAGTAATCCCTGAGCACCTCGGGGTATGGCCCCAAAGCAAAACAGACCAAAAAAGAAATGGAAGAAAGGTAAGAAAGAGAAAGAAAAAGAAAGAAGCCAGGTCTTTAAATTCCAAATGAATTTGAACATCGCTTTTGATTTTTTTCAATACCTGTTCTTGTTTACCTTACAACTTCAAAAGGGTCAGAGAAGAGGGACATCACAGCATCTGTGAAGCAGTCACACACCTTTTGTGCTTTCTGCCTTGAGAGCTTTCCTTGTCTGTGTGTCGCATGTAATGGGGATCATTTCTCCTCCTCCTCCACCTCTTCCTTCTCTTTCTCTTCCTCCTTCTCCTTCTCCTCTTCCTCTGTCACATCCGGTGGTACTCAAGGCTTATTTCTGGCTCTACACTCAGTATCATTCCTGCATTGTTTTCAGGGGGGATACCAGGGATCGAACCGGGGTTGGCTGCATATAAGGCAACACCCTACCCACTGGACTATCTCTCTGGCTCCAGAAATAACTTCTCCCATAACTTCAACTGCATCAGCTTGATACTACCATCATTCATTCCAAACAATATCTCTCCACGAAGCAAAGAGTTCCAGGGCAGTAGAGAGGGGCCTGTCTCTTCCCCCTGTCTGTACTTATAAATTAGGCCTTAAACCGCAGCTTCTGGCAGGTGTCCCTTCCCCATAAGTGAATGTGGGGGGTTTGTGTAAACATTTGGCCACAGTCAAAGGTTTCTGAGTGCACAACAATCCAGAATTCCCTCAGGACCAACCAACTGCAGCAGGAGTCAGAGCTGTTTATGGTGGTGCTTGTCCTGGACCCCATGTCTCTGTGAAGATGGTTTCAACTGGAAAAAGTCGAAGAAGTCCTTCTTGCTACAGAGTGTGAACTCCTAGTGAACTGCACAAAACTCCCTGAGCATGCGTGCCCAAGCTGCTAAGGATTCTGAATGAAACGGACAAGGACATAATGGGGTGGCTTGGAGGGTCTGTTGAAAGCAGGTAACACCTTCCTGGCCACTGGGTCCAGAACAGGGAGCAGGAGCCTTCATCTGAAGTCACTTTCATCCAGTAAAATAGCGTCAGCCGCCATTCATGGGTGTCCCGGAAGATAAGGCAGAGAAGGAACTGCATGAGATGTCACCAACACAGAGCGAGACCTCTCCACTGGTTCTGTGGCAGACCAGTGCAGTTCTTAGGCTAGCGGCTCAATCCTAGAGTGGTCTGCAGGGAAGCAAGGCGTGGGTTTGGGGGGAAATCTGCACGTAAAAAGGGTTGAAAAGACAGAGATTATGCCGGGAAGACTCTGTGGGCATGGTGTGTGTGTGTGGGGGGGGGGGAGGGGGGGATGAAGGCCTCCCAGACAGGATGAAGAGGAGCATGTGGTCCCATGCCAAAGGAGACCCCTGCTCAACACCCACCCCTACCCCCAGCTAACCAGCCATGTACCACTCAGCGATTAGCGATGACAGAACCTAAGGGGGAAGGCTCAGGGGCCCGAGAAATGAAGTTGTTATCAGTGTGGGAGGCCAGGTGAGCAATCAGTAAACAGAGAACTGGCTCCAGGCACCCTGGGATTTCCCTGGCCCACAGTGATGGTCTATTTACAGGTGTTCTCCTCTAAGGGAAACTGATTACACCAGGTAGGAAATAGACAACAGAGAGACACAGCGGCCAGGGTCAGCCTCTGCAGCAAGAAAAGAGGCCGTGCAAGGATCTCACTGCAACCCAGTTGGGATCGAGCCCCACCCCAAGGCTTGCAGGGCTGCCTCTCCAGTTTGGCCTCACCTGTCTGGGCTTCGCTGGTTTCCCAGAGAGCCAAGGGGAGATGGGTCCCTGCTCAGAAACCCCCTGGGCTGGCGGGCAAGGGCTAGAAAACAGGAGGAAGGCAGGCCAGAAAGGAAGCCAGCCAGAGGGCTTTTCTTTCTGCCACACAAGGAGACTTTATGGCCTTGCCAAGAATAAGGTGGTGGGTAGGAAGGGCCACCAGTGACATCAGTGCTTTGGCTGTGTGTCCGCCCAGCGTGTCCGCCGGGAGAGCGGGTCTCAGCTGGCCGGGCCCCTTCCTTCTTCCGCACGCCTGTGCTCCTTCTGTGAGAGGAACGCTTTCACTGAGCAAGGGTCCCGGGGCAGCAGTTGGGGCGCGGGAGGTTCCGTGTTTCTCTAAAACGTAATTCATTTTTTATCCGAGCAGATTTTCGTTGGAAGGAAACAGTGTTTTCAGGTAAAACCCAGTGTATCATGCCAATCAAGGAATGAAATAACAACTTTCATTTTTAATTTTTTTTAAATTGAATTTCAATATGTTTGAAGGAAGAATGTTTCTATTGAAACTTATTTAGAAAGATGTGAGAGGAGATAGAGAGGGAGAAGTATGTGTCTGAGAGAGACCACAGGCTTCTCCGGAGTGGAAATGAGCAAGCAAAGAAACGTAGGGAGAGGCAAGCGAGGAAGGTGTTCAAGGGAGAACACAGACTTGAAGAATGAGCCAAAACAACTATTTTATAAGATATTCTGTGTGGGGGGAGGGCAGAAGGATATATGTGTTGGGAGACCCTAACTGGGTAGTTGGCCCTACCCAGCAGTGCTCAGGGATCACTTTTGGGGGTGCCAGGGACCAAACTGGGGTAAGCTACTTGCAAGGCAAACACCATAACCCCTGTTTTATCTGGTGAGCCCTGATATGAAACCTTAAGACACATGTGACTGAGACAGACTTTGCAAATAGCTTCTTCAAGCACTTCTCAGTTTTTTTTTTCTTATGGAGGGGCTGGGGGTGGCTCCCAAGAGGGGCGCAGGGAACCCCAGGACCAGTCCTGATACTCCTTGGGCCTGGGGGCTGTAGACCCATAAGGTCAATACATGTGTGCATGCATGTGTATGTGTGTTTATATGTGTGTGTGTGAATCTGTGAGTGTGAGTCTGTGAGTATAGAGAATGTATGAATCTGTGAGTGTGTGTGAATGTTTTTGAGTGTGTGGGGTGGATGTGACTATGTGGGTGGTGTGAGTGTGTGACTGTGAGTGTATGTGAGAGAAAGAGAATGTGTGTGAGCATGTATGTGTGTGTGTGTGTGTATGTGTGTGTGTGTGTGTGTGTACAGTGCAGTGCCAGTGCCTGATATGTGCTAGACATGTGTCCCGGTCCTTTTTCATTCTGCTCTCTCTCTCTCACTCTGCCCAGCTGAGGCATTCCTGCAATATTGA